ATAAGTGGCCAGTCAACGGAAATATTCTCGTAAAAGACAGCCACGAATAAGTAAACGTCGTCAGTACTATATCTGCATTTATGAAATTCAGTTCTTTGAACTACTTTTCAGGGACTCAAACTTCTTTAGCAGACTTGATCTTCAGGCTAAAGGGAGGTGGTATGACATAGAAGTACAACAAGCTCAAAATATAAACTTTAAACATATGCCGAACCTGTAGTCGCAGCATAATCCGGCGCTAACGGTCAATCCTGACAATAAATCATGTGCTCTTCAGTAGTAAATCTATGATAGTTCTTTCTAAAAATAAATTATTTACTTTTTAAAGACTTAGTTGTAGTATCAATACTACGCGGTTCTATACAACTTCTATTATCTACTATTGTGGTTCCTTATTACATCAGTAATTAGTTGCACGAAGTAGTACCATTTCAACAGAGATAAAATACTTAATATGTCTCTCTTTAATCATTTAATGTTATTATTGTTATTATCTTTCCTATCTATTTTCTTTTTATTTTCATTTCCGTATGTTAATATATATTTAGCGTAATAATACCCGCAATGAGCTGAACTATCCACACAAATAAGTTTCATTTGATACATCTATACAAAGCAACAAATAATGAAATGAAATATTTAACAAAAGAAATATATGTAGATGACAGGTGCGTTTGGCTTCAATCTTAATTGAAAAGGATTATCAGTTTTCCTCTCAAAGGTCAGTGGTTTCATCCGGGCACTCCATCGTCCTCCACCAATTAAAACTGATCGACACAAAATAGTCAATAGTTCTGAAAGTGGCGTTAAACATCAATCAATCATTAAGAAATAGACCGGCACAATCCGTTTTTTAGCGATCTTTTCACATATTTGTACTCTGACACATTACATTATTCATCGCATATATTATGTTTTGAAAATGTTTCCAAATATATGTATAAACCTGTTTTTTTTCTTCTTGTCTTTAAATTTATAAACTCGTTAGATTCAAAGAGAGAAAAACATGAGTCTACCATTATGGAATACATCTTTTGAAACTTTACAAGTAATATTAAGGGAGTATTTGTTTTCAATACTTTCAGGTTTAAAAATAGAATTATCAGTACAAGCTGTTCACTTTAAGACTGATTGATCAAATTTGCAGTACAAATATACTCTATTAGATAGCACACGCTTTTTGTTTCACTTTTGATTGTAACACTTTCATCTTTAGAAATAATTTTCTAATCAAATGCATTTTTTTAAATGAGACAAGATTGGGTTTCGGTTTTTACAATTTCTGATGATTGTGTTGAAAAAAATAATATGGAAACACATGCAACTATGATTTACCGATGTTCAATTATCATAAATCGATATAGAAAACAAGTGACGCAGGCTAAACTTATCTTCTATTTCGTTTATGTTAACATGCATCACCATGATGCATTGTACTTCATCGTAGAGATTTTATATCCTAGTTAGCATTTATTTCCAACGACTTACTTCGTATTTCAATGTCGTTCGATATTTAAGCTTCTTATCGTTTTAATTTTTCATCGACTTTGTTTGAGACACTATTTCAGTTAATTTACTATTGTTAATTAGAACAATTATTTTTTGTCAAAACTAAATATTCAAAGTTAAAGTATCAAGGACGTTTTAAAAATTGACAATACGAAACTTAAAACGAGAAGATTTCAAGAGTTTTCATGCAATTCATTACAGTTGCTTGTCAACTTATTACGAACACTTCGAAACTATAAAAACTTAGTACATCAAATCCCGAAAAAAGTGGATAAAAGTACAAACAACTGAAGTTAATCTCTGATCTCGCAGACTCTAAATGTATACACATTCTCGCTGTCATACTTGGTGTTTTTATTTTTCTTTCCTTGTCAATCAGGATTGTCAACATAACGATTGTCTTTAGAACAAACGCTATCTGCTACTGGCTTTTCGTATATATCCATTTGACAAACAAAAAGAATATCTTAAGCGAAAAGTTTAGTGAAAATGTACATCTATTAATACAAAATGATTTTTCTCTTTCCAGATGTTTAATTATTTTGTTTTGTACAAAGTTGTTGTCAGCAGTTGAGAATCTAAAAGAGGATTCCTATCATATTAAACTTTCGGATTGACATCCTTTCTGTGGAATTATCAGGAAATCTATAGCAGCTCTCATGATGCGTTTTATTGTAATGTTCTTTTGGGTCTTTACACCAGCGTTGATGTACAATTACAGCAATATCATAGAACATTATCTTCGTGTGTGTGGTCCAGAATATATATGTCACCATGATTATGTGGACTCTTCACACATACCAGACAATTCTTACAAATATCTAAAGATGTGTCCTGAATGTTTTTGTAATTTGACATGCATTCTGAATGAAAACTGTTGTCCGGATGTATTTTTCAAACTTCCTGAACAAACCTGTGTGGAATCCGTGATTCTCGATTCAACCCAATACAACTTCACTGAAGTATATCCAATGGTTACACGTTGCCCATTTGGGTCCAATAACACAGAAAGTAGACTGTGCACAACGAACAATACTATGTTAAAACGTATATTAGCCCCTCACGTGACGTCTAAGATCATACATATGACATACCTCAATAAACACTGCGCATATTGTCATGGTGAAACCACATATTACCAATGGGATTTGAATATTTCATGCTACCAGTTTTCTGATTTTAATTACTTATCTACCCACCAACAGGTTTTAGACCAAGCTAAGGCGAGACAGTGCGTTATAAAGTATCAATCTTATCCCGGTGATGTACGAAACTGTTCCCGAAATGAAGAAGTTCCTTATAACAAGTGTAATATGACAGGTTTGTGGGAAAAATTTGATCCCGATCTTCAGTACGCTTGCGAATCTACATATATGTTAGAATACAAAGTTTTTCAAAACATATTTTGCTACATCTGTAATCCGATTGATCGAATAAATAATAAATCTTTTCGGGATTGCAACGTAACTGGTTTTTGGACTCCTTATGACAAAGGACTTCAGAAAGCATGTCAGTTCTATCGACACACAGACACCAAGTTTTCTTTTATAAATGTATTTTGTTTCTTATGCAATAGAAATAACACCAATAGCAGTTCATTTCAAGATGCCGAGGCTGCTGTAACATTTTTCGCTAAAGGGAAAATTTACTTTTATAAATTAACAAATATTAAAAATTATAGCCTACCGAGTTTTAAACAATATATGAAAGAACAAATGAACAACACCATTGCTACTACCATTGGAAACAAGAGTTTTACGTTAAACTTTACACAGGTTTAGCTAAAAGCATATGCACATTCTCCTCTTCTTCCGGGATTATGCAACGAGACGCTGATGCAGCCCAATGCTCTCAACATAATTAAATCAACAATGAAAGCATGTAGTTGTAATTTGTCCTCATTTTACAACGGAGATTTACCACTTTGCTTAGATTTGTCTCTTTCTAATTCATTTATTTGTGTCAGCAATGTTATAAATTTTGGATATTATGGGAAAACTGGAGAACGCATTTATGCTATGGTAGGAAGCTGTTCTGTAAATGTTAATTCCGCAGTACTTAAAGAAAGGTGTGCAGGGAATGCAAATGATATCTAATCATGTCTCCCCGTTATAGACAAACTGACGAATATTCAATACAAAAATGTACATTGCTTTATCTGCAATCAAGTTACAGATGGTGACGATGTCGATAATGTCGTTTACAGTGATAATTATAGGTCTATGTTTGATATAGATATCATTTGTAAACAGACGTATATTGATTTTTCACGATTGTTGTCCTTAACGGAGATAATACGGAATGCGTTTAATAAATAATTGTAGAATTAGCTTTTTAAATCCTATAGTACACCCTATATCGTGTCATAATGACGGAGTAAATCTCTTTGTACATAACACTATGCATCAGTGTAACAATACCGGATTATGGACAGAGCTTGACGTGGACATTAAGTGGGCATGTGAACAGTTGTCATATGTTGCTTTAAGGATGGTCGATGATAATAATGATTTTTTTAAGAATATGTTTTGTTCCATTTGCAACCTTCCCTATTTTGATGTAGGAATGATAACCAGTTGTAGCAAATCCGATTCCTGTCCTGTCATATCTGTAAAAATAGCAACTGGATGTCGCGTATTTCCAAAGGTGGTCAATCATCTGCCGTATAAGAATGGATTTTGTTATATAGTTGTAATGAACACCCTTGTCGTAAGAAATTTCGTCCAGGAATTGAAATTGAATTTATGCCAGATAATGTTACATGTGGTCACCGGTATGACTTTGAACCTTACAAATGTGATTGTCTCGGTCCAGGATGCGCTGTTCCGAAAGACATACCGGGAGTTAAAATCCGAAATCTGTTTCGCATTGATGAAATTAAAACAGACGTGAAACGGCCTGCTGCTCAACATTGTACTGATGGACAGTTTTTCGACAATTTTGAGTTAAATAATTGGTATAATTATCATGTAGTCATAACATACATTTACATCTCTGCATTCAGTCAAATAATTGATTAATGGTTCAGTAACGTTCAAATATAATGTTAAAAGATAGAATAGTTATCAAAACAAGGAAAACAGTACTGTTGTGGAAGAGTTTACTGGCGACACATAGCGAAGATAGTAGAATGGGATTTTGCGAGCGTTGAATCCCAACTGACAGTGACATTCTTCAGCTATAGTAATGGTTTGGTATTTTTTATTTCTATTCACATGTATCACAAAAAGAAATATGACATAACTATGAGCTTGTAGAAATGACAAAAATTAAATAAGATAATTTTTTTTAGAAACTTAATGAAAGATTTTGGCACAAAGACGTCACTGCACAACTTGACGTCACACAAAGGACAAATCAAATGTAATTTCATTACTTGTACGATTTAGACCTGGATAATATCTCATTAAAACTTCATTTCTGAGGTAGGTGTTGTTGTTTTTTCGATTGTTTTAGATTCATCGAACTTTCGTAGATTTCAACAATTAAATATGGCGGCTCAAAATATGGTAATTATGGATTCGATGATACATTTTAGCTTACGAAAAAATTGATACTTAAATATGTCATTATAGTAATTTCTTGTTATAATCAAAACCATCAAATAAGAGGAATAAAAAATGAAAACAACACTTTTTTAATAAATTTTAGACCTTTTTCTGTTTTTACCTTCAGCAGGAACTATTAAACTGAATCTTTGAAAGCCAAGAATGTATGAGAAATGAAACATTTGAAGAAGTATAAAATAAAAAAGGACCTACAAATAGTAACCAACTCCATCTCAGGTCAATTTTTCTCTTTGAGTACTCGTGTTTGAGCATATGTCAAACATGTTATTATCATTAATGTATTGAAGAATGAAATTTAAAGTATTCAGATTTGTGAACTCATGGGATTGTTCTTGTATTACACTGTCAAACAATAAATTGCACCATTTGTGTTATGGTTGTCATAATGGTTTTTTGTTTAAATTTCTTATTTTGAAATTAAATTTTTTCCAGAATATCTACCGCAACATTACCTGCTTTCCTGGAAGGTATTTAAAAGATGACAAATGTGATCGTTTTGTTCCCTATTGCAAGGAATATTCGATACAACTTGAGCATTTTCATAATAAATGAAACAAGACTATGGAATGAAACAGAACAAATCTTATTAAGATTGTTAGAAGATACTGTCAAAAATCATTCAGTTGGCTTAACCAATCTATTTATTCTTAAATATGAACAATTCTCAAAGTCGTTGTGTTTGGAAGGTCCGTCAGATTTAAAGATGATAACTTATGTTGCATTTGATTTGTTTAATAAATCAAATATTAATCGAATTGACCTTGAACAATCACTTCTAAACATAGCCGAGAAAAGGAGCGATAAACATAGCATGGACATACACTTAGCTTCATCTTTGCCTAAGCTACTAAATTCTGTTTTAGTGGATAATGATTTAAAAAATGACTCTCACTGTTGGGAATTTTTAAGAAAATAGAGATTATTTAAAGAAATACGGGAGTTATGTATCGACAAATATTCAGAAACAAATAATCTGTCCGCAATTGGAACTGGAATTTGATCGGTTTGAAATAGTCGGATCATCTTTACTAATAACTAAACATAATATAAAAATTCCTATCGACCAATTTCTAATGGATTCAAATAACAAAATAAAAGTTTGAGTTAATGATTTTTCTTTGTTTGTGTTAAGGAAGTCTATAAAACCTCCCATCGAATGTGCACTTGAAATTACGACGATTGTGTGTACGTGCGTTTCTCTTTTTTGCCTGCTATTATCATTTATTACCTACAGCCTTTTCCCATTGCTACGAACATTGCTTGGCAAAAATAATATGTGTCTAATACTATCCCTCTTCATTGCACAAACATGTTTGCAATTCGGAACAATTTGGACAAATCGTCTATTCGTCTGTGCAACAATTGGAATCATCCTACATGTATTTTGGCTGGCAACTTTTGCCTGCATGAATGTCTGTTCATATCATATGTATTCTGTGTTTACTATTTTAAAAGCTAATGCAAGTTCGTCTGAGAATACCAAACTATTTTGTAAATATTTATGTCATTCATCCAGAACACCTCTCTCTTTATAATTATTATTAATATAATCATTCATATTGTTCTATCAGGTGGAACGAATATTGGTTATGGTGAAATAAATTGGTTTATTTGTGGTCATATTCCCAAACTCGCTGCGTTCATCTGTCCAGTGGCTGTCATCTGTGTTATCAATATATGGTTATTTGGGGTCACGGCTAACAAAATGTACAATTGACCAATCATTCAGAGCACAGCTTACACTAAACATGACTTTTTTGTATATATTAAACTTTTCTCGCTGACCGGAATCACCTGGATCGGGCAAATAATAGATTCATTTGTTCCTTTATCATTGTTCTCTTTTGTTGTGACAATACTTACAGGTTTACAAGGGTTATTTATATTGCTAAGTTTTGTTTGTAACAAACGAGTTATCAAATTGTTTTTTGTTATTTTCAATGTAATCAGAAAGAACGATGGCGGGAAGTACCAAATCCATTATCATAGACAAATAGCAATCCTTATCTTAATTTATGTACATCTATTACATCTTACACTTATCGTCCTCCATAAGGTTATCACATCCCAGTAGTCAGCACTTCTGTGTTGACATGAATTATCATTGATATGGCTATATTCATAAATTAGCTGTTTACAAAACTTTGAATTGTTCGAAATAATTAGGATTTTTTTCCCAGAACAGATTACAGTAGCTTTAATCGGCATTGTGGGTCCTCAATGCCATTAAATTTCGTACTGTATTTGGCCTTTTAATTTTTATTCGATCGTCACCGGTATGTCTTTTGTGGATGAAACGTGCATTTCGTGTACAATATTATAAGCATGGTATATAAGATTAGTTTGTTTCAGTACGAAATGTTTATACATGTCTGTTGCCGGGAGAAAATATCAATTTTTCAACTATGTATGTCTGACTGTTGTATTTGGTTTATTAAATAATCTTAATTCGTGCATGTATAGTTACGTTATATTGTTTGATATAGTCGTTTATCGAGAAATTTAAATCACAGGTGAGATATTGTCAACGGCAAAATATTAACTCCTATTACATTAATCATCAGCATACAGCACAAATAGAACCTATAAACGATTCATACGAGTTGTGGTGTTGATTCCATGTACAAGATTTGCTAGCAGGTTAATTTTAACATCTTGTCAATCAATATGAATACACTCTATGTAATAAGAAGGAACAGATACTGTATCAAATTGTTCAATATCATTTACCTAACAAAATACTGTTCGTTTAAAAGATCAAGACAGGTGACTGTAAACATACAGCGTAATTATATAATGTTCCGTTATAAATTCCTAGACCAAATATTTCATGATTATTTGATTATTTGATAATCTAGGACTCTATTTTTGATTATTTGATTATCTTGGTTAAAAAAAATAATTAATGATTATGTGATTATATTGGCGATATTTGTGAATATGGGATTACTTGGACACCCCATGAGGGTCCTCAATGTTGACGTAATATCATATTTTTTCTAAAGCTTTCTAAAAGAAGTATCCCTGAACACATGGTATATATTATTTATTTAAGATGATCATATAAAAAGAAATCTTTATCAATTATGAAATATCTATGAACCGGTCCGTTCGATTATTTTTACAATACATTTGATCAATGATTTCAATACAATTATAAAAATTCTTTTCATCAACTGTTCGTAGGAATTAAAGATGATTTAGAGCATAAACAGTTAATGGAAATTTCTTTTTTTTACATGTTAACATCTTGTAAATATTGATTTGATGAAGGTTGATACATAGAAGATAACATCATATTTATCTTACGCATTCCAAAGAATCAGTCGTAATATGTATAAGATAATTGAGGAAGTTATATGTACAAATATTTATCTATTCCGAAATGACGTGAACATATTAGCTGATTATTTCACGACACATTTTGTCTAGGTTTTAAAGTAGATATTAATGTAATTCTTAAAAATACCCAGAATTAATATATGTTATGTTTATTCGAATAAAAGAAGAGGATATCTCACATGAATATATATTGGAAGAAGCGAGACATTTACAAAGGGTAAATATATTGTGAAAATATTATTAAAATGGTAAGATAAAAATTAACATATATGAAATAGTTAATTTTATCAAACTTTACATTCATTTAGGCTCAATCTGTTTTTACATAACATGATTTAAATGTTTTCACTACAATATATGTTTATATATATGATATTAAGAAAAACTGCCTGCATATCACATATCCTTTTTTTTTTTAAGAATGGACTTTCAATACAAAATAAGTGGTCGATATTATAAATACCTTAAATAACAAAAAGAATGTCATACAACCGTTTTCAGAAATCTTTATAAAATCTTAATAACATTGTGATTAAATCTTCATAACAATTTAAATAACTTAGTTTTTACATACTAGTACTAAAAGTTTGAAAACACACAACACAAATTTTATTATACTAAAGGACAGACAAAAACAATACAAAAAAAGAAAAACATTTAACTAAATGCCATGAAGAACAAAAAACCTAAGCAATATATAAAAATAAATCTTTGGTCTCGGTTGTTTTCTTAAGGATTTACTTAGGTCAGGTTTAGGAATTTGTATCAGATGTTCGAACTCCTTGTTTTGTTTTTCCTACGATACAGGGTTAAATATTTTGCCCCATAACACCCATTTTTCTTTAAATATACGACATCAATAGACTATAAAAGGTCATTTACCAAAATTTAAGCAGATCCTAGAGTTCTTTTCTTTCGATTTGAGACCCAAATAATATCAATATAAGGTAAAAGTCCGAGTCATTTTTAAAAAAATAAATATCTCGAAAAGGAGCTCCATATTTTTTAGTTTGTTTTGTTCCTTAACGAATACTCTTCATACTTATATTATCAATTTTAAATTCTAGATTTTTTTAATTTCACTTAAGTACATCCTTAAAGGGTAGGTAAGCATTTCCTTCGTCACTTGGGGCAAAAAAAGATTTGTTAAATTAAGTTTAAACATTGAGTAAATCCATCAAGTATTTTTATAAAATAATGATTAGATGAAGTACAAGAAATCAATGCGCAATCAAAGATCAATAAAAGGCTACATCATCCTGTCCAACAAGATAAACAACGAAAATAAAAAACATTAAATGAGAAAAAAAACTTTAATTGAGCAACAAGAACCCAAACAATAACTGATGGTTTAACTCGGGTGCTTCGGAAGATCGGAAATCTGCAATTGTCACCTGTCCGTATTCAGTATCTTACGTAATGCACTGAAAGATTAACTTTAAATACATGTTAACAAATCAGGACACTTTAATTTCAGATCGAAAATACAGCGATAGGATTTCAAAAACAGATGTTTTAAAGTTACAGAAATCACAATGCTCCGCCAAAATACAATTAAAATTGTAGTTATAACATTAATGTGTCAAAGCGTAATGTGGATTTGGATATTACACCAAATAACGGATATCGAATACGGAAGTAAGCTTGAAAATTCACATAAAGAAAATAGAAATTTAGTAAAACCAAAAACGAAGTACAAGTTTAATTGTACCAACATTAAAGACATCATTTTTTTCAAGTACGATGTTGGAGATGGATTATCGAAAAGCGTCGATATAGGTACCTATGAAGGAGAAACGGTTGTAGTGAAGAGGATTTCTCCACATAAAAACCCAAAAGACAGAGACGCGCAATTTAGAGAAGTGCTGTTTATGAAAGATATTCTTATGCAGGATCAATTGAATCATCCTGCACTTATCAAAATGTTAGGTTATTGCGTAAAACATTTGAGACATGACAATAGTTATGATGGTTTTAAAAAAATCGGTGATATTTCCGCTGTCTATGAATATGGAAAACAGTTTGATATAAACAAAACAAACTTAACAACAGAAGTAAGACTTAATTACGCTTTGGATATAGCTGATTTTATATTCTATCTTCACCATTCTCCATTGGGGTCATTGAAACTTGTTCACTTCATGCCTAACGATCATTTCTTTTTAGTTAACGGTAAAATCAAAATGATTGACATGGATTATACAAGTGATGTGGAACCATCGTGCCAGTTATCAATCGGTTGCTATTATTATAACATTACTTGTCAACCTCTAAACAGCGACGAACTACAAAATACTTATTGTAAATCGTTAACTAATTGTGCACTAGGAGTTTGCAGAGGAAACAATTTAAAACACAATATGGCAAGATTTACTGAATCGTTCTTCATTCATCTTTTAAGTCCAAAATTTTATCCTGTCGAAATGCACCAGGTGTTGTCACAAATTATAAAGCGTTTAAATGAAAACGATATTCACATAGATGCTCTTGTAATTGAATTAAAAAATATCAAACACGCATACACGAGTAAATAAACATCAAAATATTGATTTTCGTGTATGGTTACTTAGATTAAAATGTGTGAAATTGTGTGTTTGACAGGCAAATTAGAACGCTAAAATTAGTTATATGAAATATCTTAAAGAAAGACAAAATTTCGGTAAAATCCGGAATTTTACATCATATTTGTATCTTATAGTTACTGCTTCGTATCATAAAGTCACCGTTAGATAGATGAAATCGACAAGAAACAAGTTTTATGTCACTTTTACAAATTGTTGACCGATACAATTTGTCCGTATCTCAGCTCACGAGGGATATGTTTTCGCGGTCTTAGACCTGAAGACACACGAATAGTGGTCTATATTGTAAGTTATCTGTTTTTTGTCCTATTCTATATAGAGGGACATTTTGACAACGTATTGATTCACGTTGTAGGTGACATATGAGTAGCCGGATATGAAAAGGGATAACCATTTCAGACCAGATGTAGAATGTAAAGGTCAAAATAAAAATATACACTTTCAATTTCATTAGTATCAAATTATAGGGACAGAATTGGATTATGTCTCGAGCCCTATTCCATTTTTGTGAGATATCTTTCAATTTTCTCACTATTTCTTTTTTGTGTCGAGGTAAACACAAATAAAAATTCTATCAGATTAAATCTATAATGTTCACTGGTTTCGTCTTGAAATATAAATAAAAAAGCATACATCGTTCAATAAACCTAAAATTATCTGTCGTCTTTGAACTCTAGGTAACCATCATGACATAAATAAAAAATTCTTTTGAGCCTATGCGTCCAATACGTGACAATTCGATTATCATCATATGTTGCAATGTTCATTTAAAAAGTATTCAGTCTAATATACCTGTTTATTCAAGTATAACAAAATTTATAAACTATATTAACTAAATTAATAATACATTTAGAAATAATAAAAAGCTATACAACAGTGTAAGAAACATGTTGCACAAATATTTTTTGTTATGGTATTTGGTCGATATTTGTACTGATATTTTCTATTTACATTTATCTTTGCTCTACAGTACTACAGTACTCGGGTCTCACATTATTATGATGGAATTTAACTTCCGTATAGTTAATTTTATTTTTCTCCGTTTGCAAATCAACACCAAATTGCAATTTATATGATGTAGTAATTTAATAAGCGACATACAAATAAAATAATAGTTAAGAACTACAATTACCATTGCAAGCAATGGCGGAGGATGTCACCCCGTACTGGACATTGCCACAGTAACAGCACCCATTTTGAATATATCTTTGGTATATTTCGCCTCTCTTATTTATAGATTTTCAGGGTTAATTTTACCTTTTGAATTGACCTACGAGTTGTAAGTTGTGCGATATTTAAAAAGACCATAGAAAAGCGAAATTAATCTAGCAGTACAATCCTGCATATTCATTAATACAACGTAATAGGACTATGAACATTTAATATTTTTCAAAACACGGGTTAGAATAACATTCATTATCAACATTAACAAAACAATAATTAATGAAACTTAATGCTTTATTTTGAAATATATCCTGGAATATTAGTACAGTCTCTTGGTCTGCAACCCCCAAGGGTGACTGGGGAATAGAAGTATGGTCACCATTGGTCTTCCTCCGACCGGCAGTAAAACCCGTGCTAAAGTGGGGCGTCCGTTTGGCTGTGCGGGATGTACAAATTTGCAGCCACGTCCGGTCAGAATGGGGACGTTAAATCCGATGACTCGTGTAAAGAGAGTGCCACGCTCTTTGCACGTTAAGAACCCTTGCAACAACTCATTGAGGGGTCCGTAGGTGACCTGTTGCAAGGCTAAATTTCTGTCCCTATCCAATATACCCTCATTTCCCGTGGCAGTCTAAATTTCTCCGACCTAAATCCCTTAATCTTTTACAGAACCTACCTATTGTATTTATTGTGAACTTGTTCTTGTCCTGAATATGCATGAAATATTTGCCACTGGACGTTAAGCAACCAACCATCAATCAATCAATCTTGGTCTGCATCGTCCATTACAATAGTTGGGACAGAGAGCTCGTAGTGCTGAATCGCTGCAAATCTGTATTTCACAGTCAACCTTATGACATGCGTATTCAGAGAAATAATCTCCACAGACATTAGGTGTGTTAAGATGCGTCGTTACTACTGGAAGTAAAGTTGTATGTTGTATCATAGAACTGGCGGTAGTCTGAAGCTCG